GTAGCCTTCTCTCCTCAGATGCTTGCTCTCTGGTGGTTCTCTGGATCTCTGGAGGTGTCCTGCCGGTTGGCAGACCATGTCAAGGCAGGGCCATCTGGTCCCCCTTTTCCAGCTGTAAACATTCCAATAATAAACACGAAGGCTGGCGGGAGTCGCCAGGGGCCAGCATGGAGAGCAGCCGCCGCTCTGTGTTGGGTGGGGTTTGCCAGAGCCCTGATTCTCTTCCAGTCCTGCACTTTCATAATTCCCTGCTCTCGTGGGCGGACCAAGGCAGGCTCCTGTGGACGTGGGCTGGGGGGGCGGGGAGGAAGTCTGCCTGCTGTTTCAGTAGCACAAAGCTGAGTGACCACACGGTCCTGCCTGGAGTGTGCTCAGGCTTTGGCCACCGGCCAGGGCCCACACCTGTCAGGGAGCCTTTTGCTGCCAGGACTAATTTGGCCTCCTCATTTTGGAGTGTATTTATTGGGTCTTAGAACTCCCCACTAAGGATGAGATTCTTACAGTGATTCTCTTGATGAGAGTCTGGTATTCTCCATGCGTTTTAGACCCAATGATTTCATTAAAGAAAAAGATTGATATTAAAATAGACAAACTAGTGGGAATCCACCAGCCAGGCCATCACAGGAGATACCTCCAGACATTGGCCTTTCCTGCAGGCCCTCACAACTTCCTTCCGTCCAACACAGCGGTCAGACCTCACCCTTCGTCAGCAAGCCCTGGTGCCGGCCTTGTTGGTAGCCGCTGCCTCGGTGCACCGTGAATACCACCGTCCCTCAGTTGCCGTAGGAATTGGCTCTAGGAAACCGTCCCTGTGCTGTGGATGCAGAATTCACAGATGCTTCCAGAGTCCTCCTGTAAAACATGCAGTGCTTGTACACAACCGCTCACACCTTCCCTACACTCCAGCCACCTCTAGGTCACGGGCAATACCTAGGGCAGCGCGACCCCAGGTGGACAGTCACACTGTATCGTTGGGGGGACAGTGAGCAGGAAAGGTCCCTGCTGCTGTTTTCACTGTGCTTGCTGCGCCCGTGGGTGCTGAGTGTGGATCTGCAGGCTGAGTGTGGATCTGCAGGTTCAAGTCTGTGTCAGCCCCAAGCTGGACTTCAGCTGGTCGGTGCCAGCCCTAGTGGCTTTCAGAAGACTTCTTGAAATGAGAAGATATTCCTTATGTAGCACTGACTTTCGTCCTGGGGTCTAGTTCGTTTTTTTTACATGAAGGTGTTTGCATTTTTCCAAGGCAAAGAATGGGTCTCACACACATGTATATATTTCCCAATGCCCTGCACTTTATTAACATTGAGTTCACAGCCAAGAAATCCTTTCTTGTGCTTCATTAAAATATTTGCCGTTGTCTCCTTAACTCGCCCAAATGTCCGCCTGCTTTGAGAAACGGCTCGGTGGTCCATCCTGGGCTCCTGGGATGGTTTTTGTATCTCTCTGAAGTTGGAGGGTGCAGGGGCCCCTCGCCAGCACCACCCCTGAGTGTTCTGCACTTGTCTTAGGGAGGTGCTCAGCGGAGGCTGCTGTGCCCCCAGCTCTTTCCTTGGAGTTCCCACGTCTCTACTGTGGACATGACCAGGAAGAATTTTGTGCACACACCTGCAACCCCAGCTACTCAGGAGGCTGAGGCAGGAGAATCACAAGTTCGAGGCCAGCCTGGGCAACTTAGCAACACCCTGCCTCAAAATAAAAGACATTGAGGATGTGGCTGGGTGGTAGAGTGCTTGCCCTGCATGCATGAAGCTCTGGGTTTGTTCCCCCGTACCAAGGGCCGAACCCAGGGGGGCTCTACCACTGAGCAACATCCTCAACCTTTTATTTTGAGACATAAGTTGCTTAGGGACTCCCTGAGTTGCTGAGGCTGGCCTCAAGCTTGCAATTCTCCTGCCTTGGCCTCCCAAGTAGCTGGGGTTACAGGTGTGCACCACCACACCCAGCTAGAAATGTAGACTTTTGAGAGAAACATGGAGGTATCCCCTGTCTGTTGTCTTATGAATAATCATCAGAGTGGTGGGGAGTATACGACCTGACTCTCCTGGACTCTACTTGATAACTCTGCTATGAAGAAAGGAGACCTGATCAAAGCCCACACCCTGCTAGGTGCTGACTGGGCCTGTGTTGGTACCTGTCACCAGGTGGAGGTGAGCCCAGGCCCGGCCTCCTCAGAGCCCCAGCCTTTGGAGGTGGGTTGGAGGCTTCAGTTCAGCCGATGTCGCCTTGGGCCGTTCATGTTCTGTACACGCAGACTCACAGGGAGTTGATTCAACGTTTTCCCTTTGCATTGCTTCTTACATGGTAAAACAGTTTCAATCCATATTTTGCCATGAAGTAGGGCAAGACCCCGTCGATTTCCTAGGGTTCGATAGCCTACGTCACCTGCAATGGCACGTGTATCATCTGAACGTCACTCACAACGTCAGGAGTCTCTTGGCAGGATTTGGGGGAAGGGGGAGATCACCGGTTAGAGGGCTCCAGCATTCGGAGACCCCAGGGTCGGATGCGGTCTGTGCTCAGTCACGTGGGAAGGGGTGGGAGGGGTGGGAGGAGCAGAGCTGGCTCCTTGGCCCTCTGATTCTGGGTGATGGGGAGCTGAGTCACCTTTTGCCAAGGCTGCTGTGGGGGCTGCTGGGCCGGGGCTGGGACTCGCTGGCCCCGTTGGGTTTCCTGGTGGAGTCTGAGCGGCCTCTCTCTCCGCTGCAGGGGTGAACAGCCTTTCTCAGTCCCTCAGTGCCAACCCGCTGACCGCCTCCACCCTCACCCACCTGGACCTCTCAGGGAACACGCTCCGCGGAGACGACCTCTCGGTGAGTCTGTCCCACTTGGCCCCCAGAGACGCCAGTTCAAGTGTCACTTCTCCATCTCTGTGTCTCTGGACCCCTTAACATCGCATGGCCACCACCTTATGAGGTGCTCTGGTGAAACTCCAGAGCCCTCCTGCGCCGAATGCAGTCTGTCCCCGGGTGGTTTTTCCTTGATGGTGCTGAAGTTCACCTTGCTTTTGGAAATGTGTTTCTGAAGGAGTTATTTCCTTTATTTAAAAACATTATTTCACCAGCTACCCTTGTCTGGTCAGAAGTATTGGTGATGTGATCTGAAATATTTCATCATTAAAATCATAGTGTTTGGAAGATGGGTGGGTTTTTAATCACGGTTTGCAATTAAAAGGGGTTTGTAACATAAACCCCAGCCCATCCCCAAATAAAAGTAACCTGAGCCACTCTTGACCTTTGTTTATGAACCCCAGAAACCACCCAGTTATAACATGGTGCTCGCGTACCTGCCTCTGAAATTCAGGTAGCTGACTGTGTCCCTGACACAGAGGACTAGGTAGGTCTCATTGCCACATGGGTGCATGGTCCCTTCTGGTCACAGCACTGAGTCAGAGGCAGTGCTCCTTCCACAACAGGCCGCGGGAGTGGGCATCTGAAGAGCTTTGGTTTGTTCTGCTGCTTGGAGGCATGAGAAACCCCGAGGAGCCTGTTCTCCTGGTTTGCTGCTACTTTACTGGTGAGGCAGGGGATACCAACGAAGCCTCTTTGTGGTTTTCCTTCCGTCCCTCACACTCACCGGCTTCCTGGGGCACCGGGCTCCTCGGTCACTTCCCGATCCCATTGTCACCTTTCCTGGCGGTTCCTACACCTGCTCCTTCCAGGGTGAAGCGGGGAGGCCGGTGTGAGGCCCCCGTGGCCGAGCTGAGGGACACAGGGAAGGAGGAGAGACTGAGCTGGGGGCAGGGATGTTGCCGCAGAGGACAGAAGAGCGGCAGGCTCCCCCGGCAGGCTGGGTCCTGTTCCAGCTCCTCTGGGAAGAGCGGATGGGACGGGGCCTGAGCCAGAGCAGGCTCCGGGCCAGGGACAGCGAGGCCTGGGGCCTGCGACTGGCCTACTTCCAGGCCACCCTGGTGCCTGGGGAAGGCCTCTTCAGGTGGCAGGAGCTCCCCCAGCTGGTAGCTGGGAGCAAAGCCACATCCTTCCCGTGCCCCTGAGGTCACTAGGCCAGGCCCACAGTGAGAGTGAGGACACAGGTGGATGACACAAATGGGGTCCTCAGTCCGAGCAGCAGCTCCCGCCCAGCCTGTCCTGGGCGTCCTCTGGTCACTCTAAGGCACTAGGCTTCTGCCTCTAGGGACTTCCTGAAGCCCCACGTAGTGAGTACTGTGCTGGGGGTGCTTGCTGGGCACTGGGCGCCTGGGGCACAGCTTCCTGGGGATCAGTGCATCTAGTGGTGTCCAGAGGAGCAGAGGACAGTCCCTGCCACCTGCCTGTTGACCCAGCGAGCGCTCACAGTCGCCCAGTGAGGTCATTGGAGGACAGCAGAGTGATGGTGGCAGTGTTTGGGTGGCCTTGCGCTGGGGAAGAGGTCAGGGTGGGTCTAGGCCCTGAAATCCGAGTGCTGTTTTTATGTAGAGGACGGATAGTGCTGCTGGCTGTTCTTGCTAGATTTCTGGAAATCCCTGCAGGTGGAGAAACCACTGGGCTAGGCAGAAGGAGCGCAGCTGAGACCATCCCGTGGCTCAGACACAAAGGAGTGCTTCCTTGAACACGTTCAAAAGGAGCTGTTAGCATTTCGATAGGGTGGCCGCAGTGCAGGTGGAGTTTTCAGTCTCAAGAGTTAAAATTAATTAGCACTATTCCAAAAATCTGTAATAAAATGGAGCTTGTCAGGAAAATGAAGTCAAGTGTAAAAAAGGGTTTGGCAGAAAAGATTCCATTTGGCCATTTTTTCTTTTTTTTACTGAAGCATAAATTTATTTTAGATGAACTTTGGATGTTTCTCTCAGGGAAGGGAAGGGAGTGGCAGGAAGTTCTTCAAATCCTTTTGGGAACATCAGAGTGATCCTGGGGATTATGGCAACTCCCTGTTGACACACTAACTTGTGGTTGTGTGGCAGGGGTGTGTGTGTGTGTGTGTGTGTGTGTGTGTGTGTGTGTGTGTGTGTGTGTTTCTAGATCCTGACATTAATTTTTGTTCTTTATTTCAAGCACATGTACAATTTCTTGGCTCAGCCAAATGCCATTGCTCACCTGGACCTATCCAACACAGAGTGCTCCGTGGACATGGTAATGTTCTTTCCCGTGGCTTTGGGGGTCTTAGAAACACTGTGTGCGTGCGCACAGCCTTTGTCTCTAGTAAGACCTTCTCCTGGACCTAGAGATGTCTGAAAGTAAGTGTGCTGCTTCTCCCCAGGTCTGTGGTGCTCTCCTCCGCGGATGCCTGCAGTACTTAGCTGTGCTCAATCTCTCCAGAACCGTCTTCTCTCACCGGTACGAATCCCTCCTGCAGAGCCTTCTCTGGGAGAATGACGTAGTGACAGTGAAAACAGGCTGCAGGGGTGCGTGCTGCCCAGGAGGACGGCCTTGGACCCTGTGTAGCCTTGGCGGCAGGCTCCATCCTCTTCCTTGGCCCGGTCAGGTTCTTACCAGTACCTCCACTGACTCTGAGCTGGGTGGCTCATGGCTTTTCATGTGAGCAGGTGCTCTCTTCATACAGTGAAAGCCCTTCTAGAAACTTCTGTGGGTGTGAGTCCCAGTGACGAGCCTAGAAGTAAGGACAAACTCTTTCTGGGGGCAGAGACAACAGCCCTCCCAAAGCTCCCGCCCCTCGATGTGTGGAAGCCGTGGAGAAGCACTAGGACTCCGGGAGGCAGCGGCATGGAGTGTGAGAGGGCGGGAGGAGGTGAGGGGACCGTCGGGGCTGCGTAGGTGTGGCCCTGGCCATCCTGCCCGGATCAGCCAGCCTCAGCCTGCCCAGGGCTGCAGGTCGGAAACAGGACGTGGTCATTGCTTGTCGTTCACAGTGCATGGTGTTGCTTTGTAGTGGGGCCACCTCCGCGGTCCATAGCTGGCTTTTTAGGAGCTCCGTCTGCTGGGGGGTGGGTAGCCCTCACGCATGCTGAGCTCTCAGCCTGGCAGCGTGACCCGCGGTCGTGGCGGGCAGATTTGACAGTCTATAGTTAGAGTGCTTTTTGCTTCATTAATGAACAGTGGTGTAAATTCTGCAGGAGCCACACACGTCACCAGTTCCTCAGTAGAGGAGGGTCAGAGGTGGGAAGAACCATGAGCACCTGCTTGGTTCTAGGTCCTTCTGGTGGCCCTGCTCAGCTCCTGTGGTGGACGGCAGCTTACGAAGTGGCTCTGGCTGTGACTGAAAGGCCCGAGTGACGGCAGAGACTGCAGAGGTTTTGTGTCTTCCGCTCTTTTACGTCCACAGCTCCGTTGCGTCTGGGGACTGCTCGGCAGTGCAGCCCCGAAGCTCATGGAGCGCCCCGTGCTGACAGATTGTCCTCCAAGGAGAGGCTGTGATTAAACTGTTCAAGCCAGCTTCTCACCCAGGCCAGCCCTGGGAAGCGCCCAGTGACAGGCTGTGATTAAACTGTTCAAGCCAGCTCCTCCCCAGGCCAGCCCTGGGAAGCGCCCAGTGACGATGTCAAGATCGCTGCATTCACGCTGAGGTGTGAAGGGGAGCTAGGCCCGTCACGCATTTGTTCACAGATAATTTCATAAGTGTGCCAGGCTGTAGTAACAGTGACCCGCCCGGTCCCCAGGGCTGCTCCACCCCATTGGCCTCCATTGGCCTTCAGCAAGGGTAGCCGCCACATTCCCTTCCCCCTCACCTGGGAGGCCGTCCTCTCCAGAGCCTTCACAGTCCCACAGCAGAGAGAGACCCCAGCAAAGTCCCTTGCTCTCAAAGCATCTCGGGAAGCTGCACTCGTCTCTTCCCTTCACCTCTGCTGGCCGCAGAGAGCACGAGGCTCTCAATGGCAGGTGTCAGCCCCCTCAGAAAGGGGACCCGGGTATTTGGGGACACTGAACAGTCAACCAGGACAAAGCAGCAGGAGCAAGACCAGTCGGCGAACCACTGGACGGCGTTTGCTTACGGCACACAAGGCGCAGGAGTGCCCAAGCTGGTGCGCTGTCCTCTCTGCACACAGCTTTGGAGACGTCCAATACCATATGTCCTCTCTTTCCTCTTAGTTTGGTTTTTCATCTTTTCAGGTAAAGATTCTGGTTTAGATTTTTCCTCCTGGAATCCTCTTGTTTTAAACTGTATTTTGAATCTGCCAGATGTTCCCAGGTCTTCCCAGACCTTGGGCATGAAGAATCATGGACTGACAGGGGGTGAGCTGGACACGGGTGGCTCCGCCCCCTCCCTCCGCCATCCACGCTGCTCCCCGCGCAGGGGCTCCCGCTGTCGCCTGGCACGTCTTCCATTCTCCCACCAGTTCCGCCAGAGGGAACCCAACAGGCCAAGGGCCTCCACACCAGGGTGTTCCGGGGCCTTCAGTTCTCCTTCACCCCTGAGCTGCGGTTTGACCCTCTTTACTTCCCGCCAGCGGCCGGGGGATGCACAGGAGCTTGCAGCCACTTCATTTTGAGTTTTCTCTTTATTCTGACGCTGGGGCTGGAGGAAGATTCACAGAGCGGATGGAGGAGCTCAACAGGTGATTCGCCGAGCAGGCTTCCCGCCACTCAGACTTGGAGCTATGGCTCAGCTTGACACCACGTCCCCATCTTGCTGCATCCGAGACCTGCTATTTCTAAACACAGCCATCTGCAGGCAGAGATCCTTCATGTCTGACACTACCCAGTGGGAAGCCTCTTAAGATCAATGCAAAGTGTGCCTCTCTGACCTCCTGCTTTTAAAAACTCCAGATGTGCCGTTTCCTGGAGATGGATGGGGTCAAGTCCAGGGGCTCACCAGCTGCCGAGGAGACGTGCTCAGGGCACTGAAGACCTGGCGCGTTCCGCACCAGCCTTGATTTCTCCATTTAGGCCTCGGGCGTTTGTCTTCTCCTCGACGTTTCTGAGTGTGCTGGCGCGCAGGCCATTCACAGGGCCTGGGTGGCCAGTCCGTGCGCCTGGGGGAGGGGGACCACTCACAGCTCTCGTGTTTTTGCAGGAAAGGAAAAGAAGTGCCCCCGTCCTTCAAGCAGTTCTTCAGCAGCTCCCTGGCTCTGATGCACATCAACCTCTCCGGCACAAAACTGTCTCCCGAGCCCTTAAAGTGAGTGATGGCTTCCTTTTCTCCAGAGCTTTGAAGGTCGAGTTTGTTATTCTGGGAGTGCTCGAGGGAAGAGAGAAGGCCGCGTAACGCAAAGACCGAAAAGGCACTGAGGATAGGTTTTACTCGGAGGTGGAAGAGTTGGTGGGAAGTGTTAAAGCACCCTGTGCAGGTAGATATCATTGCCGCTTCTCCTTCACGAGCGTTCCCCCTGTGGTTCATGACCTTGGCGGTCGTCACTGCTCTGACACACAAGAAGGTTCCGAGCACGTGCGGACACGCGGCCCTGACCCCTGTGACGGGCACAATGAATACGCGTTGATCGCTGTGCCTCCAGGTGCCCTTGCCTCTGGCTCCCCTCTGTTGGGCCTGTTTTTAGGCCTAGTCTTGGGTGCGTCTTAGTCCACGTTTGTTCTAGATATTTCTACTCACAGTGGTCATCAAACTCTGTCCATCATGTGGGCACAGAGTCAGTTTTTAGCTGCTTGGGTGTCTGAGTTACTGAGCGTTTCTAGGCTGACAGGCGACTTAAGTTATGGAATTTAAGACTGCAGTTGAGCTGAGGTTTCAGAGGAATCTGTCACCTTGGGATTTCCGTTCATCTTTTTTGCCAGACAGAATCAAAGGTGGGCGTCCAGAGGCGAAGGAGTCGGGTTCTCTCTGCGCCTGGAGAGGGTGTGTCGCAGTAGCCCTGGTCGTGTGCCCTGTCAGGCAGGCTCAGTGCTGCAGACGGCTCCCTCCCCAGCTGGTGTCAGCCCGCGGCAGTGACCCGCGCTCTTCCCTTGTGCTCTGCATGAGATGTTCAAAATCAGTACCTGCTCTTCATTTTACTAGAAAATGCATTTTCTTCTAATTTTTAAGTTTCCTTTTTTGTTGGAGGTCTGAGGTTCTGGCTTCCACCTGGCACCATATGATGAAAACAAAGAATGCCTCTCAGGAAAGCAGGTCCAGTGCGGTGCTAGAAAGTGCCTGGCGTCACAACTACAGCAGGCTTTGCTTTTTTTTTAATGTTTAGTTAATGTGTTAGCTGTCTCTAAGCCTAGCAGCCACGCTGGGCGTTGTAGCCCATGCCTGTAATGCCAGTGGCTCGGGAGACTGAGGCAGGAGGGTCGAGAGTTCAAAGCCAACCGTAACAACTTAGTGAGGTCCCGTCTCAAAGTAAAATAGAAAAATGGCTTGGGGTGTGTCTCAGTGTTTGGGTGCCCCTGGTTTCAATCCCTGGTACCAAAAATAAACAAACCAACCAACCTAACAGCCAAAAACAATTAAAAAAATATCCCTATGATTCGGCTATTTGTATTGGCTACTAAGAAAACTATGACAACTAATGTTCCAAAGGGTCTCCTTTACGATTTAACCCTGTGCATTCAGCTAGAATCGATTAACCATCACAGTATGACAGATTTGGGGTACTGAGTGCAGAGCAAACCCAGATGCAGCCCTTGTGCTCAGCGGGAGACGGTCACGTTCAGGACAGTTTGGGTGATAAGTGCATTTTTTCTGATTCTTCAGAATGTTGCCCTTGTGTGATGCAGAGTGATCGTTCAATGGCTCGATGTAGTTGATGTTATGCATTATCCCACGCCGTAGTAAACCGGGACTTACTGGACTTTACTGTAGCTGTATACTTGTGAATATTCTACTTGAAAGATATTTTGTAATTCTTAAATCTCATGACCTGTTATTTATGGGAATGTTTAATCACGTTAATTCAGGGGTCACGTCAGCTCTGAGTTTTACTCAGTATAGATTTCACAGAGCGGAAAAACGCTTCATAGCTGAAGATTCCCAAAACAATGTTCCACGCGTACTTTGGTGTGTTATGATGAGTGGACGGATGGCAGGTGCCTGGGTCCACCTGTGAGGGAGGGGCAGGAAGGGACAGCAGAGTCCCTCTGGTCCACACATGCACTGTGGCCTGTGATGCTGACCGCAGCAGTGGGGAGCTGGTGGCTTCCTGGGAAGCTGGCTGTGAGATGGTGGCTGGCTTGTAGGATACGCATTGGGACGTGCTTTACGACTCCCTCTGTGGAGGGGCAAAAGAAGACAGCAGCACTGGACAGAGGGCAGGGGGTGCTGGGGGCCCCTGGGAGGGGAAGGAAGTGGAGGGCATTCTGGTCCTGCAGGGCAGCACCCACGGCTGTCCCCAGCTGTCACAGGGCTCGGTGGATGGCTCAACCCCAGATGCCTGCCATGCACTCCGAGGGCGGAGGGCACCCCTGCTTCTTAGAGCTCTTGGGATCAGTAGCTGTGAGAGAAAGAACTGTCACTTCCTTTGAGAGTGACACTTCACATAGGATGTTCCACAAGTTTCCCACTGATCTGGGGTCCTTTCGAAGGAGGCATGTGAACCCTTCCTTCATGATGGGGCTTTCCCTTTGGGCTGCCTTCAGTCTGTTTGAGTATCTCCAGGCTTTAGAGAACCTGGTGGCCCTGCTCCGGGGTCCCCTCCAGTCTCCCAAGGGTGCTCCTTGCTGCTGGTCCTTCTTGTTCTCTGGCTTCTCTCCCCACCCCTTCCCTGGGCCCTCCTCCCTCCCGCCATGCAGCACCCCTCTCTCCAGTCCCGTGGGCTTGGCTGAAGACTTAAATCTGCACCCATGCTCCTCCACCAGGACGAGGCGTCCCCCACCCAGACGGGGAAACTGAATGCCAGTTCTTCTTCTCACCGGTTTTGCAGCAGGGGCTCAGGACCGAGGGGAGAGTGGCTGGGCGTTCTGCTGTCACGAGGTTACAGTGCAGGACACTTCCTCCTGCACAGCCCCCCACCCCGGGCCCCCTGCCCACCCTTTGCTGTAGTTGTGTTTTGTTCTGCCAAGACAGTTTCTGTGGCCCGTTTATTTACGGGTCTCCTGACTTTGGCCTTCTGTAGCTGACTATGTCAGAGAGCACCTTTGCCTTCCTGGGCCTCAATCATGTGGGTAAAAAGTGGGGATTATCTTCCTTGGTCTGAGCATTATGAAATGCAGTGTTGGGACAGGTGGGTCCATCCTGGAATCTCACCTTATGCTAGAAACTGAAGAGACCTCCTTGATGATGTCCAAACCCTAGGTTTGCTGCTGAGAATCTGAGAACCCTAAAAGAGTGACGTGGGTGAGGTCACCCAGCTTCTCGTGAAAGACTTGAGACTGGCCTCGCGGGTTTTAGTCTCAAGTACTTTTGGTGGCTCAGTTCTGCCCCAGAAAAGAATGTCAAAAAAGCAGTTTTTAGGCAAAGAGAAGCTGTTTAATGAAGTTGGCGCATACCCCGATGGGACGGACCCAGCCTCTCTCCTAGGACAGTGCTGCAGAGTGACAGACAAGCAAACAGGTCCTGGCTGGGGGTGGCAGCCAGCTCTGCCTGGCCACTCAGCTCTTTTGATGGTGAGCCCAGAACCCAGTGGCTGGAAGAGGGAATGTCAGGGGCCTGGCTGTGAAGGGATTAGCTTTCTTCCCTCCTCACCAATGCCCACTTTGGAGTAGCCTGGCCAGGGTCCTTTTCCTGGGAGCATGAGAACAGTCGTCCAGCGCCAGACTCCGCTCACCACCGGCCTGAGTCATGATGACCTGCACACATTTATTTTCTGTGTGTAAGAGCAGGAGCTTTCTCTTCTTACCGAGTTCACTACTAGGTCCGATTTAGGGCTTTTGTCCATTCTGTGTAATCTAATGGGTGTGGAATTTTTGTGTCAAACCCCGTCAGTGGCATTGGAATTTATGAGACTGGCCTGTAAAAGTGGAGTCGATGCAGTTTCTTAGAAAGATATGACATCCAAGTGCTGAATCCAGTCTTCCCGATTTACAGATGAGGAAATGCCTTCTTCACAGACATGGGTTTTCCTGGTCCTGTAGGTGGCCAGCCAGCCAGGCCCCTGGACAGGCTCAAGACATGTGCTTGCTTGTGTCCAGAGCTCTCCAGCCCTGGCACATGCTCTTCTTAGGAAGAATAATAAGCTCATCCAGCTGTGATTCCACATCCTGCAGCACTGTGGAATTGGCCTCCCTGGCTACCGTATTCCCTGGGGAAAGCCAGCTTTTCTTTGCCACTGTAACAATCGTCTAATAGTATCCTAAACATTATTAGAGCTGTCCTCCAGCAGATGCAGGTGGGGATTTATCTGTGATGAACACAATTTAATTTCAATATGCAATTAGGTGTGCTGCTGGCTTATTTGCCCAGGAATGGTGGTTCTGCCAGGTTTGCATGGAGGATGGCCCCGCCACTGTCAGGCAGAGAGTGCTGCTGGGTAGTGTTTTACTGTAGAGGGAGCAGAAATGCAGTTGGCATTTTAAGAAAAGAAGGTGATTTAAAAGAGCATTCTTCTCCCAGGGTTTGTTCAGTGTGCTCACAGTGTGTGTGTGTGTGTGTGTACGCGCGCACGCCCATGTCGTGTGGAATTGTATCTAACCCTTGTGTGTTTCCTCCCACAGAGCGCTGTTGCTGGGCCTGGCTTGTAATCACAGCTTGAAAGGGGTTTCTCTTGATCTCAGCAACTGTGAGGTAAGACCACCTTCAGACTGCGGACTGCAGTAGATCATAGCCTCAAAATCACTTTCCCTTCTTCCTGCAAAAATGTGATTCTGTGAGTCTGCAGGGTATAAAGGAAGCAGAGAAACACACATTGCACAAGTAGCCTACATTATGTGTTTCGCAAGTTTCGTCTACGAATAGCCGCTGAACACCATGCAGAAAGCATCCAAGGGGTGTCTAATGGCTGTTTCTCCAGGCTCAGAGCCTGTTGCCTAAGTATTCTTGACGATGCCGTGAGGTACAAAGCTATAAGCCAGTTCTGTTGTCGTGAAGTGTGACACACAGCATTCCTTGCAGGGGACACGTGCATGTACCTGACTTGGATTTCCAGAGCGTAAAAACAAATGACTTTCTCATCATCAATTTTGCTTTTTAGTATCTTGATTCAGAACAGGAAAGTGAAATGCCTCTCTGAATCATAGCGGCCCAGACCTTCCACATCCAAGGCCACACAGAACACCTGACCTAGCAGCCTTTGTGTTTTAGAGGACACCTAAGCCTTTCCTACCTTGGGACTTTAGTTTCTGAGGAGGTTGGTAAGAATATACCAGGTGCCAGTCTCTGGCCTCTCCAGAGCCTGGGCCTGCCCAGCGAGTCAAGGCCTGTTTCTTCTGCTCCTCAGTCCATCCTGGCCTCTGGGCCTTCTGTTCTCCCCACTGGTCATGTGCCTGTTGGACCCTGCTCCTCCCTAAGGCCCTCTAGCTTGAGGCCATTCCTGCACACGTGGGTCAGGTCCTGGCTGTGCAGTCCTGGATGGACTGGTTGATGTTGCCCCAGCCTCTACACACGCAGAGTGGAAGTGAAGTTAGTAGGTCGCCAGTTGCTGTGGGGTTTAAAGGGCTTTCTGAAGAGTGCCTCTTCGTACCTGGTTCTCATCGAGGCTGCTGCTTCTGCTGTTTTCTTGTCTCTCTGGCTGCCAGGTTTCTTCCCTGAGTCTTGAGCCCTTCACGATTGTGTTTTTCTCATTGTCTGGTGACATGCATTTGGACACTGAACCCCAGTGTGCCTTGCTGGGCACGATGAGTTGGCTCCCGTCTAGTTTCCCAGCGAGGGTACAGCCTTCTGGAGGGAAGGACTTGTGCCACGCTTGGTATCGTGTTTCCCTTACCTCCCAACAGGATGCCAGGCGCCAGCCCAGCACTCGATGTTGTAGAAGATCGATACTTCACCTCTCGGAAAATTCTAGAAACTGATGAGTCTGGAATGATACCATGTAAATTGTCAGTGTAGGATGCTTCCTTAATTTTGATACCACCTTTGCCATTTAGTAGTCTTATTGTTTTAAAAAAGAGAAAACAAAAAAAAGTACAAAAATTCAAAAAACAAAACCAAACTTGAAAAAGTACCCTAGCATTATAAACCTTTCCCGTGCAAAAAAACCAGTAGTCTTTCATTTATGAAGACAGGTGATGACGTAGAAAACAGCTCTGGCCTTTTCTTTCATACTTTTTTTTTTTTTTTTTTTTTACTTAAGACAGAAAATTCACATCAAATGGTTAGTCTCTGATGGTGAGATTGACCGTTACTGTTATGAAAATCCCAGCTTAATTTTGGCCTCTCACTTACGGATCGATCATAGGAAAAGTTGAGACTGCAGACAGACGGAGGCCTTGACAATATGCCTCTCCCTTTTGTGGCTCAGCGTGCTGGCCACACGTGTGAAGGCTCAGCTTGTACTGCTGCGGGTGAAGGCGGGCCACACAGGACTCTTGTCCTGAACCCTGTCGCAGTGTGGTGTCACCCTGTGCTCCTCGGGGCTCGGTGGGTTTCAGGTTGCTCCTGTGCAGGAGAAGTAACCCCTCAGGTGTTTGGAGGTCCGGCTCACCTGAGCTGAGGTGCTTGGTGCTGAGTCCTGGCCGTAGGTCTGCCGGGTTCCCACTGTGGGGTTTATGCGGTTGGAGAGAAGCTTCCCCACCGCGAGGGTGAAACGGTGCTCTTGTGAACATCGTCTTTCTGTTCATTCTCGATTTAGCCCGTGTAGGTCCAACCTCTTCACGGTTATCATCTGTGAGAATCGTGGAAGGATTCACACTGGACTTTCCCCATCACATGAATCTTGTTTCAAAATCCAAAAGGTGGTCGGGAATAAAATGTTCTCCTTGTCACTTAACCGTCACAGGGGGTCACTTCTGCAGGGGGCCTTTCTTGAGAGCTGGGGCTGATGTACCTGAGACGTGTCAGGGTGTGGGGTCTGGCGCTGGAGGGTCTGATGGTGGTCCTGCAGTTCCCATGTGGTGCCTGAGGGCCAAGCAGCTCCATCGGGACCCCAGGGTCACAGCCACCCATGCCACGGAGTCAAAGAACCTTGTGAAATGTTGATGTTGTTTTATGTTTATGAATCAATCATTTAATATAAAATATCTGTATAGAATTTTTG